CCCCCCCGCCCTTTCCGTTAAAGGTTCAATTGTTTTATCGTTTTCAAACCCAAGAAACACACTCTTGCTATCCTCAGAATAAACACACGAAGAAAAAAGCTATTATATATACAGTAGAACCTGTCATAAGTTATATTGGATTTTGATTGGATCTGACCAATCAGGAGTTGAGACAGTCTCCCCACCACCAATTTTGCATTGACATATAACTTATGAGATTTGATATGTTATAACTTTCTGGAGGTTTGTAACTTATGACAGTATAACTTATTACGAGTTTTACTGTAAATAATGACATCATGGGTCGTTGTTAGTAACTAAAAAATATAATATGCTGTAATATATAGTTTGCATGGAAAAAGAGAAGGGGAGAAAAAAATGTTTATGGTAGATTTCCACTCGCTGGCTGAGCCAATCACCGCTCTCCATTTTAAGTAATGGAGAACGCTGATTGGCCCAGCACATTGAGTGAAAATCCAGCGTAACGACGGCGCTGCAATGTTCTTCTGTTGGAGGGAAAAGCGGCGTCTGCCTCATAATTGATCTCATTTTCAAATAAACAATACACATTTTTCTTTTTTATAAAAACTCAAAATGTCTGGCTTATCATCAAAACACATGACAACTAATCGAGATTTCGATTACATGGAGATTGGTTATTCTGTAACGTGAGTTGTTTGCAGTCTTTTTCTTTTTTTTCTTCAATCAACACTGTTTGATAGAACAATGCATGTTCGATTGAGGTTAGGTGATTTGTTTCGATGGTGATTATTTATTCATAAAATATATAATATATAAAAAGAAACTACAACAAAATCAATAAAATACATTCTTTTTTCTTCATGATTAATAATTTTGAAAAAATATGAATTAAAAAAAATAACAGTAATAGAAATAATAATATTCATTCAACAAAATAAATTCCACAAAAATGGATGAATAGGGAAAAATAACAATGGCAGAAAACAAAAAAAATTCTGTTAAGAAGTATCAAAGCAAAAAAAATCTATCTATAAATATCTATAAATAAAATGAATAAAAAAACATCCATTTTCATTTCTCTAGAGACATCACTGGGATAATAACCTATGTCAGGACATCGAAAACTTTCGTGGACAACCTTGCCCCTGGTAAAGCTTTTGCCATTGGTTGGCGGTATCAACTGTCTAATCTAACAGGAAGATCAATCTCTGTTGTCTTCTGGCCCCCCAAGAATAGAGATTATGAGGACAGACTGGTTGGGATGGTGAATATTCTAATCTATTCTCTTTTTTGCATCCGAATGGAAGTTATTGTAATCTTTCAATTTGAAATTTCTGGTATTTTGTGTTGAAATGACTGAATATGTTCTAAAAAGTCCAAAACCATTATTTTTAGGGAGTGTATATATGTATGTGACTTTTGTTTGTCGTTCTTTTCTATCTATAATCAAATTCAATCGAATGTACCCCATTTCCAATAAATGTCATAATTTCTCTCTGAAACGTAGACTTCAATGAACACTTTCGATTGACCTCACCCAGGACTTAATCGATCGTATGGTTTTCGAGATATTATCATTTTACAAAAGTCTTTTTTTCGACGATTACTTAAAAAGAAAAATGTAATCGATTCAATCGATTGGTTGATTTGTTTCGAGGGGTTGAAAAATTTGTTTCCATGGCATATTGACCGAGTTTGAAGATGATGAGAATAGCATTATTAATACTTAAGTTACAACATTGTTTGATAGGAGTATTTTATCGGGATTTAGTGGAGATTTATTCGCGGTTTAATCGAGGTTCAACTGCAGTTTGATCGAGGTTTAATTAGAGTTTCATTGATAATCAATAATCAATTGGGATTTTACGAACGTCATATTTATATGGCTTAATGTCATCTGATCATCATCAAAGTTCAAATGATCATGAATTTCAATCATTACACCAAAAAAAGAACCAAGATGTTCCCCAATTTCCATCACAGAATCATACCAAAGATTAATATCTTAAATAGCTTAAAATCATATCGTTACGTATACGTCATAATATTTTCTCATTTTCAGATGGTGACATTGAAGGGGGTGTTTATCGCACCACGTAACCAGCGTTGGCCAAGAGTTCTCAATGATGATAGCCCATTTGAGATTTTCGTTGAGCGGGAGTCAGTCATAGAAGTTCTGGGCAAGGTACCACAGAGTCTCCTTGACAGATACCACATCCAAATATCTAGAACGCCAGATGAGGCCATGAGGAGCATTGACACAATCACTGGACCTGTGTTTCTTAATCAGGAGGATGACTGCGATAGTGGAGATGCTACAAATGAGAGAGGAGTTTGAATATGGGTACGATTTATTTCGATGGGGAGAGATATAAATTTAAAAAAAAGAGATATAATTCTGATGGGGGAGGGGGGAGAAGCACTACTACCAATATACGTCTGGAACGTAAAATGGGGTCAAATTTTTCCTTTTTTTTTATTTTTGTTCTTCCTCGAATGATTGTTCGATGATTTTGAGGTACTTCCGCAGTATCTATTGATGTGAAATCTTCTCCGATGGACTGAAGGCATAAAAAATGGATCATATATTGTTAGCTATGCCAAATGACTATTACAAAAATTTGAAAGACTTTGACCTCATCATTTCTGAGATATGCATTTTTAAACATTGAGTTTTCGTGTTTTTTCAATGTTTGATGATGCATATTTCAGAATTCTCAGAAATGGTGAGGTCCGAGTCCTTGAAATTTTGGTAAGGGTCATTTGGCATACTCAACAACATATGATCGAAATTTTGTGTCTTTAGTCCATTGGAAAATATTTCACATCAATAGATATTGTGGAAGTACTTGATTTTCACCCTCATTAATACGTGTTCAAATAGAAATTCACCGACCATGTCCAATAGGATGGAATTATCCCCCTTTTTCCACATTAAAATTACCCTTAAAGCCTTCTCAATCGTCTTTCTTTCATCATTTTTCATTGCTAGAGGTCATGATTTTCATGAGAGGACTAGGTTACTTCAGACTAGAATACCTTACATTCATAGACGTTGAGAGTAACTTTGTTTTTTCATTCATTTCCAAGTTTATTAAAAACGAAAAACATCACTTCATCGACCCCATTTTTCAGACTCATCCACCTTTGTTTTTTCTCAATTAAAATCATCCTTGGAGCCTTGATTATTAAAAACATAAATCTAATAACAAATAGTACAAAGAAAATAATTTTATGAGGCAAAAAGTACTCTGATTAAATTTAACAAATTAAATTCATTTTAATTTTAAAAAAAGTGTGATTTAGTGCATTCCCTACCTATTAGGGTTTGATGATAATGATAAGAGAAAAAAAAAGAATGCAGTATTTCTAAAATAAGAATTAGAAGAAGTACCACTCAGTGAAGATTGAGTGCTGAGTCATATTAACTTTAAATGAAAATGTGATCTTACGTACTATACGTAATCAATATAAATATATTTAACAAAGTGTAATATTTTTCATTGTAAGAAGGAATAGTATTCTGTCGACTGAGTGAAAGTGAAAGCTTTATTAACGTAATAATTGATTTTAAGGGGAATTCTAATTAACGAATAGGTTCGGTGAATTGTTATGTATAGGTGTATAAGAAGGATAATGACAATGATTTTGATATGTGCGATAAATATATTTCTAGAAAAAAAATGGTGTGAGAACGTTGAGGGGATTGTTTCAGAGGTGATCAGGCATTGCAAATGATAATTTTTAGATTTAATTTTCTTGCTGATTTTGTGTTGGCCATGACACAACAAATCCACAAAACAACAAATATTTTGTTGCAAGTATGTGAAAAAGAAAAAAAGTTTGTTCATGTTCATTTTCTAGAAAAAAAATGGTGTGAGAACGTTGAGGGGATTGTTTCAGAGGTGATCAGGCATTGCAAATAATAATTTTTAGATTTAATTTTCTTGATGATTTTGTGTTGGCCACGACACAACAAATCCACAAAACAACAGATGTTTTGTTGTAAGTATGTGAAGAAGAAAAAAAGTTTGTTCATGTTTATTTTCTAGAAAAAAAATGGTGTGAGAACGTTGAGGGGATTGTTTCAGAGGTGATCAGGCATTGCGAATGATAATTTTTAGATTTAATTTTCTTGATGATTTTGTGTTGGCCACGACACAACAAATCCACAAAACAACAAATGTTTTGTTGTAAGTATGTGAAGAAGAAAAAAAGTTTGTTCATGTTTATTTTCTAGAAAAAAAATGGTGTGAGAACGTTGAGGGGATTGTTTCAGAGGTGATCAGGCATTGCGAATGATAATTTTTAGATTTAATTTTCTTGATGATTTTGTGTTGGCCACGACACAACAAATCCACAAAACAACAAATGTTTTGTTGTAAGTATGTGAAGAAGAAAAAAAGTTTGTTCATGTTTATTTTCTAGAAAAAAAATGGTGTGAGAACGTTGAGGGGATTGTTTCAGAGGTGATCAGGCATTGCGAATGATAATTTTTAGATTTAATTTTCTTGATGATTTTGTGTTGGCCACGACACAACAAATCCACAAAACAACAAATGTTTTGTTATAAGCATGTAAAACAGAGAAAAAGTTTGTTCATGTTCATGATGTAAAATTTTGCGTTAACAAAGTTTGTAAAAGTTTGGTCCTTAAGTTGATTTGTAGTAGTCCGTAAGGATTCACAATAAAAAATGTGTTTTTTGAAAAAAAAAGAAAAAATGATTATGTTTAAGAGATTGATTCCGAGTATCGAGCAATGTGAATACTGGATACTATATGTACAATAATATTGTATGCATGTTCTCTCTCCATTGGGAAATTAATAAATCGGTATCGAAATTTTGAAATGTCCTTTTGTCCATGTCTTTTTTTAGAAGAAAATTTTCGTATTTGATGGGTGATTGGCGTTGAACAAAAAATACGAAAACTTCCATGAAAATGCCGCGGCGTTCTCATTGAACGTTTTGTCGTTCTGCGGCTGATTGAAAATTGGAGTCTATTCATCCCGGCATGGCCGCCATGATAAACCAAGAAATATAGCCTTAAAAAATCGCTTCGTTCCGTGCGTTCCATGCTTACAGATGATTATACACGTGGTAAGTAACAATGAATAACAAATAAATCAAATAGATTATGATAGAAGTGAGAACAATTATTGAACGAAAAGCAATTATCGTTAATCAAGCGGTTCACTTGACACGAAATCGATCGTAACATAGTTTTTTCATATTTCATGATTTGAACATTTTTTAAATTAAATAATTCAATTTTTCGACTACATTCGATCAATTAATGGTGACAGATCAATATAGATAACAAAAAAGAACAAGATGACTGTAAATTAACAATCAATCCTTGAAAATCACATGAGCTATCGAGGTTAGATTCATTGATCGCTGCTGGGTTTTTCCATAATAAAAATTCGTTTATTTAATGTTAAATTTAATCTATTCCATATAATTCCATAATTATTGTTTATTGGCAAACGAAAAAAATATGTTACAGATTCCTACGGCGATTATTCAACGTTGATTGATGGGTCATTTGAAGACTTAGACATCCCCTATAGTTTCAGGTATAGAAAGTACTGGTAACTAATTTTCTCTAAAATCTTTTTCTCATCTTTTTGTCCAATTGCTTCCTCTTAATTCAAGTGTGATACTTTTCGTTTACAGGTTGGACTTGAATGAGTTTCGTGGGACTACCAAATAAGAATCAACATTTTTGTTTGTCAGAGACCCGTGTGGACAAATCATTTTTTTTTAATCCTCATTGTATGAGAATTTAAGCGAAACACGAAGATAAAGAGTTTACCCAGCATTACCATTTTACCACAGAATAACAGAATTTATCAATAAGTTGACAAGTTAAAAAAGAATAACCAGTTTATCACAGAGAAACAACAAAAAAGGAATAAGAAAGTGAAGAAGTCAAAAAGTCAATAGTAACCACAATAAGTCAAAAAATGTCTAAGAGAAAGCTGGAACAAACTAATGACATAATTGATATGAAACGCATAAGATCTACTAAAAAAACAATTCGCACATCTAGAAGTCAGTGGAGATGAATTTTCAAGTCCTCAAATGACGAATCAATCCAATCATAATGCTGATTCCCACAGAATCGAGCATGCTATATCTTTACACGATCATAATTATTCTAAAAACTTCAAAAAACCAAAAAAACCAAAAGTGAAACACAATTCGATCATTCCACAAAAGAAAGAGTTAAAAATTAATGTTAACAAGCCAATTAAGATTCATGTTTTCAATAAAGAATTGTTACATACCCAGAAATCATCTTTTCCTGAAATTCCTTTGATTTGCAATAATCCAGCGACGAATTCCAATGAAACTTCACCAATGTTCATTGCTCCCAATAACCAATCAATTAATGTACCATCGATCCATAATTTGTCCATTCCATTTCATTTCCATGATCATGACTATCATAGAAAAGACCCTTTGATCTTCAATAATTCAGCAACAAATTCCAACAAGATCTCACCAATATCCATTGCTCCCAATAGCCATTCATTGAATGCCTCATCGACTCCAATCCATAATTCGTCTATTCCATTTTATTTGCATGATCATGAGTATTATAGAAAAGATCCTTCAATCTCCGAAAATTCAGTGACTAACTCCGATGAAACCTTCCCAATATCCATTGCTGCCAATAGCTATGCAATGAGCGTACCATCTACTTCAATTCAGAATTCTTCTTATTCAAGTAATTCAAGTAATCGTCGTAATCATGATTTCCCACAGAAAATTCAACGAGACCGTAATAATCAAATTGTAGATGAAGTCGATGATATTCCCTTACATTATCTTGGCCCTATGAATATTATTTGTGTACATTGTAAGGCTAGACATTATGCTGCAGAAAAATTGTCCAATAAAGGGAATTCTTTCAATGATTGTTGCAATCACGGTAAGGTAGTATTGGATCCTTTGCCAGACCCACCATTAATTTTGAAACAGTTATTTGATGGTACTCATGAGATGTCAAATCACTTTTACGAGCACATTCGTCATTACAACAATTCCTTCTCATTTTCTTCTTTCAATGCTAATTTAGTACAGTTCAATAATCGACGTCGTGGTCCATATTGCTTCAAAATTCAAGGACAGATTTATTACCAAATTAATACATCTTTATATCCAGCTGATAATGAAGCGCCAAGTTTCAGACAGCTCTTCATAGTTGACTCGAATGAAGCCGCAGAATACCGACAAAATGCAAACTCAAATCTAAATGCAGAAGTTGTCCGTTCTATTGATAATGCTCTACGAAGTTTGCCTAATAAACATGTGGAGGCATATCGAATGATGAAAGAAGAAATAGACCTAATGACAGCACGGAACAACGGTGAAGAACCTGAGTTACAATTATTATTCCAACTGAAGAAAGGACAAGATCAACGACGTTATAATTTCCAACGGGTGAATGAAGTCGCACAATATTTTCAACTACAGCAGATGGCGAGATTCCAGAATTTTACGTTATAGTACGTAATAAGCGAACCAAGACCTTAAACTATGTGAGTTCAATGCATCCAAGTGTTGAATCGTGGACGTATCCGTTATTATATCCTCATGGAACTTCAGGCTGGTATGATGAGATGAAAATGACAGATGGCACAAAGTGACTCACTCGAAATGCCTATATCAAATATCGTATGGCAGTTCGAGAAGAAACCAATCATTTATTAATGGCACGGCGTTTATTCCAGCAATGGACAGTTGATAGTTATGTAAAAATAGAGAAAGATAGATTGAATCACGCGCGAACAATCCAAAAAAAACTGAGAGTTGATTCGTACGAAGGTTTAATAGAGCATTTACAAAAAAGAGCAGAAGGCACAAATAGTCGCATAGGTAAAATTGTGATTCTTCCTTCATCATATCAAGGATCACCACGTAATATGATGCAAGTATATCAAGATGCAATGGCTATTGTCAGGAATTTTGGTAAACCTGATTTATTCATCACAATGACCTGTAATCCTAAATGGATTGAGATTAAGGAGGAACTGGAGAAACAAAAACAAACTGCTTCTGATAGACCGGACATAGTTTCACGCATTTTTGAAATGAAGAAAGATGCACTTCTTGAGACAATAGTAAAAGAGGAACTATTCGGTGAGGTACGAGCTTACGTTTGCGTCATTGAGTATCAAAAACGCGGTTTGCCTCATGTTCATTTATTAGTCACGTTAGCCACAAATTCAAAAATCACTACTCCTGCTATTGTAGATAAGTATATTTCTGCAGAAATTCCCCATCCTGATGAGAATCCGAGATTGCATGAAATTGTTAAAAAAAAATATGATCCATGGTCCATGCGGAAGTTGGTGCTTAGATGATAAAACGAAATGTTCTAAAAAGTTTCCGAAAACATTCAATGATCAAACGAGCTTGGATGAAGACGGTTATCCTTCTTATAAGCGTCGTGACACTGGCATTTTCACTCGTGGGGATGGCTCTAGCTTTACCAATCAACATGTACCTCACAACCGAAAATTGTTGCTCAAATTTGATTGTCATTTGATCGTGGAAGTAGTTTCGAGCATCAAGGCAGTGAAATATCTTTATAAATATATTTACAAAGGTCACGATGCTGCAACTGTCGTGATTCAACAATCAGAATCCAATCACAATCAAAACTCTCAAAATGTTATTGATCATGATGAAATTCGGGATTATGTTGAAAGTCGCTATGTCTGTCCTCCTGAGGCATGCGCCCGAATGCTCAATTATTCTCTAAATGGCAGAAGTCATGCTATAATAAGATTACCAGTACATTTACCAAACCAACAAAATGTTACTATTGATGACATCGATAGCGAAGAAGCGATTCGAACGGCGATGACTAAGAAATAAAAATTGGAGGAATATTTCAAATTAAATGATCGAGATGTAGAGCCTAGAAAATTGACATATGCACAAATACCAATGCTTTATACATTTCACAGAAAAACCCATGTCTGGAAAATACGTAAAACTCATTTCAATACAATTGGCCGCATGTACTCAGTAAGCCCAACATAAACTGAATTATTTCATTTCAGATTATTACTTACATGCGTAAAAGGTGCTAAAAATTAGGAAGATTTGAGAACAGTAGATGGAGTCGTGTATGATAATTATATTCGCGCGTGTTTAGCACGTGGTTTAATTGAAGATGATAACGAATGGGCAAACGCTATGCATGAGGCGGAAATTTGGATGATGCCTCGACAACTACGTTATTTATTCGTTCGTATCCTACTCCATTGTCGACCCATTCACCCAGAGCAATTATGGGAAGATTTCAAAGATGCATCATCCCAAGATTTTTCACAAACGATGCCTCCAATCAGAGCTCATAAAAAAGCATACATCGCTATCAATACATTACTTCAGCAGGAAAACTCAAGTCTGGCGAAATTTCCATCTATGAATCCAATTGACGAAACCGAAAACTCTGAAGATGATATTTCATCAGAAGAACATCGTTCGATTGGTAAAAGACAATATCAAATGCTGAATGACCAACAAAAAAACATTGTAAATACAATTTTAGAACAAATGTCAAATAAAAATGTTGATGATAACCCGCAGTGTTATTTCATTGATGGACCTGGTGGATCAGGGAAGACATTCATTTATACTACTTTATATCATCTGTTACGAAGTGAGAATAAAGAAATTTGTACAATGGCATTTACTGGAATCGCGGCAACATTGCTTCCACATGGAAAAACTCTTCATAGAACATTCAAACTGCCAATTGCACTTTACGGCGATTCATCACAAATAATTAAAACTCAATCGAAAGAAGCGAAATACTTGCGAAGTGTTGACCTGTTCATTTGGGATGAGGCGCCCATGACACCTAGGCATGCCCTGGAATTAATAGATCGAAATTTACGGGATATTATGGATAAAAATAAACCTTTTGGTCAGAAGATAATGTTACTGGGAGGTGATTTTAGGCAATTACTGCCGGTCAAGAAAAATGCTACTCGCAGTGAATTAGTCGATCTTTCAATAAAATTCAGTCATTTATGGCCTGTTTTTACTAAATTCACTCTCGCTCAAAACATGCGCACATTACCTCAAGAAACGGAATTTGCTCAATTTTTACTCTCCGTGGGGGATGGCAGTATTAATCATCATGGTTCCGATTTATGCTTGCCACAAAACAGCTTAGCTCCACCAGATGCGGATATTGCCAAAGATTTATATGAAGATGTAATTAGAAATAAGGAATATGATAAATTGACAAAATGGATCATTTTGTCAGCAAGGAATGTAGATGTCGACGATATCAATACAAGGGTTGTTGAGTTGTTGGATATTTCAACTGAGAAAATATATACTAGCATCAATTCCGTTAAAGATTGTGATAATGGTGAAATTACTGAAGCACTTCTTCCCGAATATTTAGAAACATTGAATCCGTCATCTTTACCTCCTCATGAATTACGACTGAGAGTTAATGCGGTCGTCATGCTTATTAGAAACTTGTCAATTAATGAAGGCCTATGTAATGGAACGAGATTAAGAGTTCTAGAATTATCAAATCACTTATTACAATGTAAAATTTTAACAGGAGATAAAACGGGAGATATAGTTTTCATCAATCGTATTACATTGTATAGTGAAAATGATTATCCTTTCGTTTTTGGGCGAAGACAGTTTCCAATTAAATTAGCATTTGCCATGACAATTAATAAATCGCAAGGACAAACATTCGAGAGGATTGGAATAGATTTAAGACAAGATGTTTTCAATCATGGTCAATTATACCTGGCCCTTTCCCGTGTTCGTTCCTGGGATTCCTTGAAAATTTATTTGGGAAATCAAAGAGAATCGAATGATGTCAAAAATGACGTATTTACAGAATTGTACATTTGAATTGCCCTTCGGGGTCAGCGAGCTGCCGATGTAGGCAGACGCTGAGGATCGTGCAGTATTTGAATTGCGGGTCCGTTCAAAGTCGACAAGGCAGGAACATCGGAGAAAGGACCATGCTACAGAGAAAGGACGAGAAACACACAGCACAATTTTTTTTCGAACAAGGATTGTAATTGGCATGAATTTAATTAGGAAAAAATGTAAAATATGTAACAAAATGGAACGAATGGAAACTGAAATAAATTTTGAATGAAATAATAAAAGAAAATTGGGTTGCTTATTTAATGATTTTCTTATTTAGTATTAAT